AGAAAGCAAGAGAGAGACAGAGAACAGAGAGAGAGAGAGTGAGGGAGAGAGAAGAGAGAGAGAGAGAGAGAGAGTGAGAGAAAGGAGAGAGAGAGAGAGAGAGAGAGATAGATCGAGAGAGACATGGAGAGAGCGAAGGAAGCAGGGAGGAAGGGAGAGGAGGGAGCAAGAAAAAGAAAATTGCATACATATTAATACGTACATATATATATATATATATGGGAAAGGCAAAGCCCATGCAAGCCAGCAAGCCTTCGCAATCTTTGCAATAGCACAACTCAACGGTTGGGGAAAATACCCTGGCTGCGCATGCTGGGGCAGTTGCAGCCGGAGGGAAAACTTTTTTGAGTGAGCGTGTGCCGTATTTGGCAGATAAATAAGTTGAACAAAAATAAGTTATGCCTCTGCAAGCGCCTTGGAGTCATCCAAGGTGGCCACTCCAGGCAAAACCTTGCCCTCCAAAAGCTCCAGGGATGCACCTCCGCCAGTGCTGCAGTGGGAGACCTTGTCCACGGTGTCGTACTTCTTGCAGGCCGTGGCGGTGTCGCCTCCGCCAATCACCGAAACGGCACCCTCCTTTGTGACCTCCACGATGGTCTCCATCATCTGCTTGGTGCCCTTCTCAAAGGAAGCCATCTCGAACACACCCATAGGGCCGTTCCACACGATGGTCTTGGACTTCTTGATGGCCTCATCGTTCATGGCAATGGACTTGGGGCCAATGTCCAGGCCCAGGAACCCATCCGGCACGCCGGTGCTCATGTCGCCATCCTTGATCTCTCCATCCTCGCCAAACTTAGAGGAGCACACGAAGTCCACAGGCAGGATCAGCTCCACACCCTTCTCCTCCGCCTTTTTCCTGATCTCAGGCACCAACTTGGCGCCCTCCTCATCGTACAGGGAATCGCCGATGTCCACGCCAGCCTCCTTGATGAAAGTGAAGGCCATTCCACCTCCAATGATCATGATGTCCACCTTGTCCAACAAGTTCATGATCAGCTGAATCTTGTCCGCCACCTTGGCACCACCCAGGATACCGCACACCGGCCTGGTGGGCGCATCAACGACCTTGGCGAAGTAGTCCAGTTCCTTGGCGAGCAGGAAACCAGAGCACTTCACAGGGAAGCCCTCTCCCACCATGGAGCTGTGTGCTCGGTGCGCTGTTCCGAAGGCATCGCTACAGTAGATGTCTGCCAGCTTGGCAAGGGAGGCACGGAATGTCTTCACCTGCTCATCATCGGCCTTGACCTTGTTGCCATCCGCGTCCTTTCCCTTGCCCGTCTCCTCCACGTAGAATCGGGAGTTCTCCAACAGGATGACAGTGCCCGGCTCAGGATCCGCGCACGCAGCCTCAACATCCTCTCCAATCACATCCTTCATGAGCTTCACTGGCCTGCCCAGCTTCTCCTCCACCACCTTGGCAACTGGCTTCATGGAGAACTTGTCGCTGAACTGGCCATCCGGGCGGCCCAAATGGGAGCACAGCACCACGGACTTGGCACCGTTGTCCAAGGCGTACTTGATGGTGGGAAGGGCAGCATCAATGCGCGCAGTGTTCGTGATGATGTTGGGATCCTGCTTGTCCTGTGGAACATTGAAGTCCACCCGGATGAAGACGCGCTTGTCCTTGAGGTCAACCTCGTCGATCTTCAGCTTGGCCAGCGATCTGCATGCCACCACGTTCTGGGCGGCCCTCGGCTTGATGCCCTTGCGACGAGAGGCCGCCGCTGCGCCACGGATGGCGGCCACGCTCAGTCCTCCAACAGCCAGGGCACCGCTCAGGCCCTGGGCAGCAGAAGAGGTAGCACCAGAAGGAGCGGACGACGACAAAAACCTCTGGCTTGAGGTGGCAGACACCTGCGGCTCTGTGCCAACCGGTGCAGCGCCTGGCGCCACAAACGCAAGGCCGCCCAATGCTGCAGCGCCGAGCACCGAGCCAACTGCCACCTTGGAGGATCGCGACATGGCGTCTCGAGTTGGTCACTGGGCACGTGGCTTCCCTGATGCTAAGCCACAGGTTGATTGCCAATCAGCTGGAACATGCTTGTAATCACGTTGCTGCATGTGCAGCTGCCAGACTCCCCGTGTCGGCAAATCAAGGAATGGAAACAAGGGGTGGAGTGACAAACACGGCACCAATTTTGTGCGACTCTATCCAGCTGCTCCTTCATCCTCTGCTTTCACTGCTTCCACCTTGCAGTGAGGGACATAGTCAATCCAGTCTGCAGGCAAGACACCGTCTTGCAAATCTGCCTGTGCACCACCCTCAGATTGGTATGCATTGGATTTGTGCTTCGGGACCTCAGTGGCAAGGGGTTCACCTTGCTACAGGTTCTCTGGCTTCAAAAACTCAGACTCTGGCGAAGGAAAAGCCATCTGGAACCTCCGAGCTCAGGCGACTCGACTTGCAAGTCGCAAGTTGCATCGTTGAGCCATGGCACCTTCCCAAGCATCATCTCGGTGATCTCAACCCAGTCCTGAGCCAACCAAGTTCTGCTCGCGGTCTGAGCCATGGCACCCCTCCTTGGAATTTGTTGACGCCATCTTCGTCTCCAGATCACTCCGTCCCACATATGGACGTGGGCGCCAATTAATGCGCGCTTGCTGAACCTGCGTCCCCACTCAAACCGCCGCTCTGGAAACGATCCTCATGAAAAATTGCAACGCGGCCTCTAGAAGTCCAACTGGCACGTAGCCTTGCAGCCGCAAAACACGGAATATGGGCAGTCTCCACGCCAGAACAGGACAATTTGGCCATGGCTATGTGCATCCATGCGGCGGCAAGTAAATGAAAGCCACTCCAGTAAAAATCGTCTCGTGGTCTCCACACCTCTGGGGTCTGCACCCCAATGCCTTGAGTAGAGCAATGCGGCCTACTGCCAAGAGTGCAACCTTCTTTCCCCCCCACGCCCAAAAAGCTTTGATTCTGGGCAAGGAACATGTTGCTCTTGGGGTGTCCTCTCAACTATCGAGCTAGGGACTCTAGGCCGTAGTGTGTGAAGTCGCGGATGAGATCCTCGATTCGAATCTCCGGAAACGGGATCGCAAGCGGAGCCGGAACTGAAAGATGCCAAAATGCCAGGCTTCGAGGCGCTCCGAGGCAGAAATGTCCCAGTGCCTCTTCTCTTTGATTTCCTCGAGAGATGGGTGGCTCGTGACTTGGTAGCCCCTTTTTTTTGATGTTCAAGGGAAACAAAAGGAAAGCCGCGATTTCGTGGGTCTATCAAGACACACCCGGATTAACACTCACTCAACAGAGCCATGCGAGTGCAGAAAAGCCACCGTGAAGATCCAGGGCTTGATCAAGGCACCACGGCCAATCATCACAGAATCCACTCCATGGGTTGCACCTCACGTAGCAACAAGAAACGCCTCTGCCAAGTCCTTTTACGCCTTAAGTAGTTTTTTTTTTTTACGATTTGCAGCTAAGGTATCCTCTAGAGCTGAGGCACAATGTAGCTCCACCTCTTCCCAGTTCATGGCATCTCCACAGCCTCCAGAGCACGGACTCTGCAAGACGCGTCTACAACATCGCGTGAATATGTCAGCACAAAATATACAACATGTTAGCGTTCCATAGCAACTACACAAGAATAAGCAGACTTCTTGCATTCAGAGTGATTCCAATCACCAATGCTTGCTAGGCTCTGGACCGCATGGAGCTGTCTAGCTACACAAGCCTACACGGGCCCTTTCCTGCTTCACCGATTCCCATCAAAACCCTTGCCCAAAAGTATGGGGTCTTCTTAATACAAGGGCATGCACTGTGGCATTGCAGCTTTGAGTCAAAGTGTATCTCCTCTCTTCTCGCTCGCTGTGCAATGGCGGGCCTATGAATGGAGTGCGGGATTGTCTTCGACCACTACACCTGAGCTGCTTGAAGCGATGCTTTGCTTGCTGGCATTCCAAGCACCCAAACGATGTCAATGAATTCTGCACTCAAATAGAAAAGTGTTGCTTGGTCCATGGCGCTCCTTGATGTAGTCCCAATCAGCCAGCTTTGTGTAGCGCTGCCTCGCTGTTCGACCATGGAGCACGAGTGCGCTAACTCCCCAGGCCTGCCACGCATCAGGAAAGCAAACATGGCTATGCCTCCTTGGGTTTGCTTGTACCGTGGACGAAATCCTGCAGAAACAACTGGTTGTTAGTATTTACAGGAGAATCATCATTGCAGGGTTTCTTAAGTAGTGCGAAATGGATATCGCAACCATCCACAACTTAAGTTCTCGTATGCAACAAATGAGAGACCCATGTCCCACGGCCTCTAACCTTGGGACGAGATTGTGGGCGTAACGCCCATTGAAGTCTTTCACCTTGTGGTCCTCGCAGCTTTGCCACAGCGGTTCGTCTTTTGCGGTTAACCGCTGCATGCAACCCGTCTCCCCACCTCCATGTGGGCAGTTCTCATCTTCAAGGTCAGGGCTTTTGTCTTTAAAACGCCAGACCTTTCAGCTGCGGTTTGGAAGAATGCCCACTGCATAGTCACATCAGCTAAGTGGCATGCAGCGCACGATGCCTTCCATGTGAGCTGCTTTTGCCATCAGCCTTTCTGGCACCCGCGGAAAACATACAAGAAGAAAAAGAACGATGCTTTGGAGCAACGACTTGGAGATACGAGACAAGTTGCCGCGAACCTGCCCCTCGGCGGTGGACCTGTCTCAAGAGAACGTAATGCTGTCTCTGAATAGAAATTGAAACCGACAACGTCGTACCTTGCCTCCTCTAAGGGGCAGCCACAATTGATGTCAACAAAGTCGCAATCGACGTGTTCATCCACAAATTGCGCCACCTTGCTGCAGCAATGGAACGATGCAAAGTACTCGAAGCGTTCTTTCTCACTGAATGCCAAGCCAGGTGGCAGTACAAAAAACACACACAACAAAGAGTTGAGACCTTGTCAGATTGGCAAAGTGGCGATGTTGCCAATCCGAGAAGAAACATGTACAGTGTTAAGCGGACAAATCCCCCCGTGTGCGTCCCAAGGAGCCTTGGCCATGGTCGCAACATCGCCCCCAGCGATCTGCACGCCGAAGCACTTCTCAGACTCGTGGCGCCGCAAAAGCGCCAGCTCGCTTTGCAAACCTCCGGCGAGGCGAAGTGTCTGGCCCAACGCGCTATTCTAATGGGCATGAGGGCACGGGTCAAAATTAAACCACCAGGGGACCGCAGGTTTTTCGTCCTTGTTTCCATTTACCAGGGCAAGCCATTTCTAAGGGTGCCTCTCAGCACGCCGCTAACTTGTATCGCATGTTGCTGAATGAATCGTAGCACTCATTCAAGGCTCAAACATGTGGAGACCAGATTGAAAAAGAATACACCAGCATAGACCCCGGATAGCGAACAACTGCACCAGCACCCCGAACTGCATGCCCCTTAGAACCTTGCCCCTCAATCTTGCAAAAAAGCGCCCGCGTCGTCACCAGCACCTCCAGCACCCCGAACAACACCCGCCGCAAATCTCAAGCCGCGTCACCCAAAACAGCACCTGCCAAGCTGCATACCCGGCCGACAATCTCGCAAAAAATCGCCCGCACCGTCAAACAACCCTGGACCAGCACCCCAAACTGCATGCCCCCAAGCACCAATCTCACAAAAATGCGCCCGCACCGTCGCTAGCACCTCAAACAGCACCACAAGCAGCAACCCAAAACAGCACCGACACCGGGACCCTCAAATCACGTGCCTGTAGCACCCTGCCGTCAATCTCGCAAACATGCACCATGCACCGTCACCAGCACACCAAAACAGCACACGCACCAGCACCCAAATCTGCATGCCCGCTAGCACCCAGCCGTCAATCTCGCAAATCACTTTCCCCTCTTTATTAGAAGTTAGAGCCCAAAATTATTTGACGAGCAGTTTATTTTGCACAGAGACTCTATGCCAGCCTTCAACGATCGAGTGCCCCAAGGCCATCTCGCCAACTGTAACCTTGGCTCATCCGACAAAAGAGCCAGGCGAGAATGAAGCTGAGATACCCGAAACATGATCAAACATCAAAACACATCCCAGAAAGCAGGCTGAAAATCAGGAGGTACTGAAGCCACAAAGACCATAGTTTTGGCATCATTCATGGATAGCCACGTCACTTCTATGAAGCCAATGCAGCTGTTAGAGCTTCGCAAGCTGTAGATTGTCGCGGTGACAGCCAAGCAGCTTCACAACCCAAACCAACACAAAGTCGGCGAAATGGTAAGTTGCCCACAGTTGTCAATGGCGCCAGGAACCTGCTGACTCGGAGTGCCGAGATGGTCAACAGCAACTAGCCAACAAACTTGCGCGGCATGTTCCAGTCCCCCTCCTGGCCTCTTGTTGGACAGGTCCACACGCGGGCGCTCTTTCTCCACCAAGGGCCCCACGAAGCATGCAGCATCAGTGGACCTCAGTGCTTGAAATGTGACTTGCATCCCAATATAAAGTGCCACTAAAAGTCAGGTTGGCCTATAGACCAGAGAATCAACCTTTGAGCAGCAGGCGCTGCATAGCTGTCATCTGTCTCTTTAGCATCCTTTGGCCGCTGTGAATGCCAACGGTCCCAGGCCTGGCAAACAAAATAATCTCAAAAAAAAAAAAAGCGGCCTCCACCATCCTCCTTCCACTACTTCTAGGTCAGTGCATTTCCCCACGAAACATCCTGCATGGCCCTTGTGCATATCTCTCTCTTTCTCCTCCTGACGTGGACCCTTGGCCCAGGCCTTCGCAAGATGAGTTGCTCGCGAAAAGTCGTAGCTCTTCTTCCGCAGAGAGATGCGCATCTCCTCAGTGCGGCGCGAAAATCTGTGAAGCCAAATGATCTATGGAACAAGTCCAAATACAAACAACCAAGCAAAAAAGCCAAGGAAAGAAGGTAAGGGCAACCATCCCACACTTCCGCGCTTGGTGGCGAATGCAGGCTGCAGGCAACAGTTCAACAAAGACACCAACTTGCAAAACACAAATGAGCTCCAGGAGCAAAACCGCCATTCCATCCTAATACCAATGCTTGGCATACCACTTCGCAACAACCTATTCGCATTGCAAGGTCCTCCCAGTGCAGAACCTTCTGAATCAGTAGAACAGCTGGGGGGAAGGGCTGTTCAGGGATTGGAGGAGCTGGTGCTAACTCCATGCGATGCCATAAAAGAACTTGCAACCGGTCAACAATGAAAGTGTCCATGCTTTGGTTGACATCCAACCTGAGTGCGCCAAGAGTCTTCGCTAAAAATGTTCTTCTCTCCAGGCACAGCACCAATGTGAGGAATTTGCTGATGCCAGGAGCAATTTGCTGACAGGGGCACTCCATCCTTGTCCACATTCTTTCCATCCGCAACGTGACCTTGAGGCAACCAAGTGCAAAGGGCCTCAAAAAAAACACTGCGAAGTTGCTGCCTCGGGGCTTGCTGAGAAGCGGCAGTTCAACCCAGCAGCGCAAACACCCAGTGCCTGAGAGAGGAAGCTTCATCAGCAATTGCACGGTACATCTGCGTCAAGTACCACCGCCTTGAACACTGGACATTCTTCGGACACGTTTGGCAGCTTCGTCGAAGTGAAGGTGTCAACATCGTGGTTCTTTGAACACCTGCCATTCCAACTGGCCCGCGACTCTCTCAGGCCCCGCCGCTTCTTAATGAGATGTATCAATTTATCGTGAACCAGTTGTTTGTTTGATACCCTGATATGCTTCATGGTTGCCTATGTTTTTGCAAGCGTTGCACGAGCACTGCCAGATCGCACCTTGGCTCACCTGGAGATCCATCGCACGCATTGAGGTAGGCAAGACGTGCGCAAAGTTGCTGAGCAGCTACCTGCTCCGCTTCATTGCCGAACAACAACATGTGCCAACATTGCCTTCTTCATTGCAGCCACGTTTTCTTTCCGTTCCTCGCATGTGCGGGGGGGGGGGGTCGTCGCACAAGTAATAGCTAACACACAAACACGCACATGCGCAGTCGTTGGTCCTTGGTCTTGTTCATGCCTCTGTTGGTCTTTTGTTTTTTTGTCGGCGGCTCCGAGTTTCCACCAGAGTTTTGCGTCTCTGCCGCTGGGACTGACTGCTTCTTTAGCAGGAACTCGGGCTGAATGGGAGCCTGGCACACCAAAAACGAAGCCTTCCAAGCAGATTGTCCGCGCGAATCGCTGCCTCACAACGAGCAATGGCATCCTCAATTCTTTGCTTCTTTGCCTCATTGTCCTGGAACGCATTTGTTGCCAAATACTGAATGCGACCAACGGATTCACGGCAAGATGGACAGTCCTTTTCAAGTGACATTGCTGGTGCTGCTGCGTCTGCCATGATGTCGCGCGAATACAAACAATGCCTGGCAATGTATTAGCTGACTTGTTTGCACTTATGCATTTCGGTGTACCATGTGAGAAAATGACCGAGAAAATGATTGGTCAAATTGATGCGGGCAAAACCTGCGCTCAAGCCCAAGCTTCGACATGGTTCTCAAGGCAAAAGGATCTAGTATTTAGTTTATTATTTATTGTTGACACGTCGGCCTGTGCACCAAAGAAATGTTAATGCTGTAACCAAAAGCGTTGCTTCGCGCAAACTGGCAAGCAATGTCTATTTGGATTCAAGTGCTTGCTTGCAAGCCCTTTGAACGATTGTTGCGACTGGAATGTATGAATTTGTGAAATGCGCAGCCCAAAACCCAAGGCCCGGAAAAACTTCAAAAAGAGATTCCCCTCCTCGAAACAACAAAACAGGGGGGCCAACAACACATCAAGCATTGCAAAGAATGATTGAAACTGGGCAGCAAACAAAACCCAAGAACTTTCGGGAGCAGAGCTGGAAGGTCCAGACGCAAGCAGGAAATACGCCACTGGTTTGGCATCCAAGGATCCCTTTCAACACCTAGAGGCGTCGGTGTTTTTACCGGAAATGCAAGAGCTGTAGGCCTTGTGAAACCTGCTCAACAGCTCAAGCAACCGAAACCGCCCCCGAACTCCGTTTTCGAAGGGGGAAAACTCAGCACCAAATCTTCGACACTAAGGTCGAACGAAGGAAGTTCTTCAAGGACCAGCGGCAAAGCATCGACTTAAAGGTCGAAAGCAAAAGAGTCCCTGCATGGACTAAAAACACACGTCGACTCCAATGTGGCGAAAGTCCTTCCAGGACTCGCCAAGCCAAAGCAATCGTTTGAAAGGATTTGGTGGGTGGGAGGGACAAAGCCTTAGGAAAGCAACATGCATCAGAGCCGTTTCAGCTCCTAGTGAAGTGAGGGTTTCTTCAGAAGGGCTACGTCCACGAGGCCAGGTCCTTGCACAGGGTCACCAACCAAGACGAAGCGCTAAACAAAAAGTTCAAGGTCTGTTGCACTGCTTCCGGCTTGAACCCAAACCCCAAACAAAGCTGCCGACAAGGACGCACACCTTTTTTCCGGGTTGCTTGGAAGGTTGCGAAAGACCAACGCGGTGCACCTGGTCTTAGGCGGGCCCCAGAACCTGCGGCTGCTTGGAAGTCTGCAAGGCTTTAGCGAGATGGCTGCTGTCAGCGCACCCTTGAGAACAGCGGCCCACTCGACCGTGCACTTGTTCTTATTCTTGTCTTTACGGATGGGTCCTGTGTTGCAGGCGCAGTGCTTGGATCACACCACCAGTGCGTTTTCTGATCATTTGGTGCGCTTGTGGGTTAACTGGCCGCCAAACCATTGACCGTAGCAAGCTTGCAGCTATTTGCTCGATTGTCCTCAGTGTTGCAACATCCTCTATTGCCTTGCCTGTACGTGTGGTCGGATTCCAAACACGCCCTGCACGCACCTAGTCTTGTCTCTGAGGTTTGAAAATGGTGTTGGCCCTTTGCGAAAGATGCAGAACCAGGATCTGTTGTGTTAGAATCTTGGTCACTGCTTCAAGCCTACAGGGACATGCAAGGAAAAAAGCATCCGACCGAAGCAAACTCGACACGCGCTTTTTTACTTGAGCGTTGCTTAGAAGTGCAGGCTCTGAGATGCAGGTGGAGTGACGATGCGCGTCCACTCCATCTTCCTGCATCTCATGCGGAGCCTGTCGGAATGCCCCCTGTGGTCAACATTGCGTGTTCGACCATCACACAGGGTGTTTTACCCATGGGGTGTGAGACAAATAGGAGGTAGTTTGCACATCGGTATGCAATACGTGCGTAGGTGTGCACGGGAGGAATGCGTCCTCCTGCAGGGAACCAGGCTGGTCCGACAGAATGCTGATGGCATTCAGCGATGTGCGGCTGCATGCACAGCATGGGTTCAAACTGGTGTGGCCAACAAGGAATGCGTCCTCACTGCATAGGCTTAAACTGGTCCTGCGGGATCAGTAAGCCGACAACACGCTTGATGCTGGAAAGCTTGCCGACAACGCGTGTTCAGCAATCAACTATCAGGCCTCTTTGCACAGGCTACGCGTGCGCCCATAAACACAAATGGTCCGTGATCGCGTCACACACCAGAAGAGCACAACATCTGGGCGGACCAACTCAGCAGAGGTAATATCTCCGCTTTCCAGAGTCGGCCGCATGCCAGAGTGCGCTTCAGCCGCATGATTTCTGGCCTTACGCATCAGCTCTACGCTTCACCCTGCGGACGCACCGTGGAGACCCGAGCACGTGATCAGCAACCCAGCAATCAGGCCTTGTGGAAGTTGGTTTCCACCTGGGCCGTGAAAGGGTGGGAGGGTGGGTTCAAAAAAGAACGAAAGAGGGGTTAGACCCTCAAGGCATGTCCCTTACTAAAGGGCTTGAAGCAGAAACAGCCACGCGGCCGAAGATTCAACCAAGATTAAAACACAGGGGAAAAAGACAAACCCCTAGCGTTAGAATCTTGGTCACTGCTTCAAGCCTACAGGGACATGCAAGGAAAAAAGCATCCGACCGAAGCAAACTCGACACGCGCTTTTTTACTTGAGCGTCGCTTAGAAGTGCAGGCTCTGAGATGCAGGTGGAGTGACATGCGCGTCCACTCCATCTTCCTGCATCTCATGCGGAGCCTGTCGGAATGCCACTTTAGGGTTCTAAGCAAACGGTCAAATCACCTCACCCCCTCTTTAGTGCGTTTGCGATGCAACCACGTGGCTACAAGTTCACAAAGACTTGCAAGGGCATGCTGTGGTGACAGTTTATGAACGCCTGCCTCGGAGGCCGTGTTATCTGTCCCTGTGGGCATGCAAATGCCACGGACGCTTTGTCCTTCGCAGGACCATGCGATACGCATGAGTGCTAGTTGAGCCAAGGTTTCGAAGCATGCGATGTAGCGCTGCTTCTTTGGCGAGGCACGGCCGCCGGCACCTGCGAGCTGGACCACGTGGTGCCGGTGAGGCAGGCCTTTGCGGGCAGCGTGCAGACTTTGCAGGCGCTGTGCGGCGACTGCCACAGCGAGAAGACGCTGAGGGAGAGCGCGCAGCCCACCAGCCTGGAGAGCCGCGTGGCCCCCGGAGTCATGGAGTACGCCCGGAGCCCCCCAAGCTGCCTCCTCTGGTTTGTGAGGCGCAGGCGTGCCACAAGGATGCTCTGTACGTTGGCGTGGACGTGGCGCGCTGCAGGCGCAACGGGCTGGCCAACGCCCCCTTCCCCCTGCCTATCCTGTGCCCGGCGGACGGCGTTGAGCCCGTGAACCTCTTGGACTTTCTGGAATTGCCAAGTTTCTGCGAACCAAGAAACGGAGCTGCGGTGATGAACCAACCCCTATGCCCACGACACTGCCCTGGCGCAGGCACGGCTGTTTTGCATGCCAGCATTGGCTTGCTTCTCAGCGGGCATGCAAGGTCTAAGTGGAAGCATTGCAGCAACTATTCTACCATGTTTGCTCATCTTGGACAGCGAGTGTCTCTGCGGATGCGTCCGGACGCGCACCCAGGGGATTTGTGACTAGGCACAACGCGAGGCAGGTCAGCTGGCGTGCGAACGATGCTCCTTGGAACTCGAGAACTTTAGAGCCTGGTTGCAAGAAGATGCCGTGCACGCTGACCTGAGCACGCTTTGGTGCCAATGCTGAAAGGAAGTGGCCACAAACGCGCATGGAATCATGCAACCCGGCGGTAAATGCAATCTGTATACAAAGGTGCCAGCCAGATCTGATGAGTTCGGGGCAGCTCGTGCAGCTGCCCTTTTAATTTTAGGTTTTTTCGGCGTGAGATGGTCTTATGCAGGAAATTAATGCGCCACCCACACCACGTGAGGCATTTTGAAATTGAACCTTTTCCACAAGATCGGGGGAAATTGCTGCAAAGAACATAACCATAAGGGCCAGCTGGTGCGTGCGCGTCACGCGATGCAGTGCTGCCAAAAGGTCATCCACAAACAACCATGCACAATGTGGGTAGTTCCAAAATGCCGCGGAGAAGCGTGCTCCGAAGTGGCAACCCGAAAAAGGCCATGTTTAACTGGGGTGCACTTGGATCTGCTTATGCGCCGCTTTAAAATCAAAGCTTGCCCCCACAAAGGGGTCCTCGGGGAGCAGGCTTATGTGTTCTGGAATGGCGCACTTGGGCTCTCTCTTTAGAGGGCGTTTCCCAAATGGATTTTATTCTACCTGAGAGGCTCCTAGCACTCGTCCGTCCAGCATTTGACCTCGTCCTGCGAAGGATTCGAAGTCTAAAACGCTGCGTGCAGGCGTGAGGCTGCAAAATAGAGACCCCTAGATATGCTTGCAATTTGGCTCCAGGTTGCATTTCAAGCGAGCCAACCTTTGCAGGGCTAAGAAAAAAACAAAAAAAAGAAAACAAGGGGTCCCAAAAAAAGGGGTCCCCGAAAAAAAGGGAAAAGGGGTTTCCTTTGGCAAAGCTTGACATCGCTTGAAATGCAACCTGGAGCCAAATTGCAGCGCATATCTAGGGGTTTCTATTTTGCAGCCACACGCCTGCACGCAGCGTTTTAGACTTCGAATCCTTCGCAGGACGAGGTCAAATGCTGGACGGACGAGTGCTAGGAGCCTCTCAGGTAGAATAGAATCCATTTGGGAAACCCCCTCTAAAGAGAGAGCTAGGGTTGTCCGCAGTGGGGGATTCTACCTCCCACTGCGGACAACGCGGACAACCCGATTTGCTGCGGCACGGTGCCGCGTGTACGCCAAGCCGCTGAACCCCCACAGTCTCCGGGCTCCTTGCTATATGTGCTATATGTGCTATATGGGTCTTACACGCCAAGCCGCGGAACCTCCACTCTCCCCCGGCTCCTTGCTATATGTGCTATATGTGCTATATGGGTCTTACACGCCAAGCCGCTGAACCCCCACTCTCCCCCAGCTCCTTGCTATATGTACTATATGTGCTATATTATTCTGTACGCGCGAAAATCTGTAGTATATGTGCTATATAGGGCCATATAGCACATATAGCACATAT